CCCTTGTGGTCTCTTCCAACTCTATGATTCTATGATTCTATGACTACATAATAGGTAGACTGACTCAATGAAGGATGCCACAGCCCTGAGTATGCAAGACATGAGCAGGCCTATTGAGGAACATGTATCTTGGAGGTCTCCCATTCATAGGGTTGTCATGAGTCAAAGCCGACAACTGAGAGCAATTAGCAACAAACTTTTGCAGCAGTGGAGTTTTCTAAATACCAGCCAGGGGTAGACTTCCCTGTCTGCAGGCTGGGAAAAAGTAGGGAGAGATTGGAATGAAATATTCTGCAAGAGGACATGGCTGTTTGTCTTTTCAATGGAAAAGAAGCATTCCACTTTGAAACAGTTCTGTTACGGGAGCAAGTATATGGAATCACCTGATAATTCTGACCATGTAAATCAGGGATAGATGGCATCATAGGAGATACTGAATAATTTCCAATCATTTTCCAGTGACATTTGGCCATGGGGCGGGGAGGCAAGGTTATTGGGTACTAGCAAGGTGAGATTAACCACATTTGGGGATATTTAGAGGCATTTTGGCTGTTTAAAGAAGATAAAAATGTCTGAATATCACCCATTTTAAAAACAAACTAAAAATTGGGGTGTTTGAGGGATCTTGGAGTCTTTTGAGGGGCTTTGGGAGCATGAAAAGTAGGGTTTGGGGGGCACATTCAAACTATGGGCCACATTTTTCCCATCACTGATGTGAATGTTCAACTTTAAACATTCAGGCTAGGATCCAAAGGACTGTGAGCACATGATGGCTCTTGGACTCTCTTGCACACCATCACCCTTTTCATTCCAGCTATGTACCCATTCAAAGGATCCTCCTGAAAATCAAGGGACCCTCTGAAGCAATTCATGTCCAACAGAAGGAATCAGCAATTTCCACACTCCTTGCAAGCAGAAGTGCTTCCCACTCATACATCAGTTTGTCTGGATCACAGCCACTGAGTTGTTCAGAATCTGCCAAAAAAGCATTCATAAAAACATTGCAAAGGTAAAAACAATGATACAGCTTTCTGAAATTCTGTTTCACTCCAGTAGCCAAAGTAATCCAGCACAGACCTGCTGGTAAATTCAGGAAATATATACTTAAAATGAAAGCCAGTGTGGTTCTGCCCAGTAAACCCTGTGATAGGTTTGCTTTAGGGTTGCCATAAGTCAGAAACTACTTACAACATTTAAAATATTTTTTTAACTGCAGGAGTTGAAAATCATGTTATTCCCATGCTCAAAAAAGCACCTTCTCATGGAAAAATGTAATGAATCATTTGAGTAAGTGAGAAAATGGTCAATTCTACAACTTCCATGATGCCCCCGCCATAGCTCACATACACACACACACATACACTTGCTCCCCCTTTTGACCCACAAGAGTAAAATAAAAGCTGTGGAATCTTTTATACAGAGCAAATAAAGATGAAGCCTCTGTATTTATGAGAGAACCCCCACCTAGCATAGGGGAAAAGGTCTCCAAGTGTACACAATGGAAAAACCTTTCCCTCAACTGCTACATGACCACATGTTAGTCTTCTAAGAAAGGTTTTTTTCAAAAAATGCTCCCAGCAACACAGTCTGATTTATAAGCAAGTCTGTAACATCAAACACAGAAGAGGATTCTTTCACATTACCACAGGAGCCCGGAAGTCAGTCAAAAGTGACTGCTTCGCTATTCATTGGATTTGGTTGTTTGCTTCTTACTGCATTATTTATGGAGAGTACTAAGTGAAGTCTAGAGCTTCTTTGGTAAATGTTTAACAAGGGGGCACCAACCCAAACCACAAATCCTCTCCCTGCACACACAATCTCTGGAGAACTCACACTTCACACTGATGGCAATCTTAACCAAATAACATTTTCTTTCTTTCTCTCCTTCTCTTTTCATTGTGTTAATATCTGAACTTTACTTAGCAAAACGCTGTCTGTTGTTAGCAAAACGTTGTCTGTTGTCTCCATTGGCTCTCTTTTAAAGTAACAATAAAAGGCCAACTTGCATATAATTGGGAGAAAAGGGCTGTTTCATACTAAAGCTTACTTCCCATCCTACAACACCACTGTGCTGGCACACTTGATCCTTCTCGTCTTAAAAGAAGTATAAGCATCAATTAGGCATTCTTACATTCTGAACTTAATTGTCTTAATGGTCTCCCCACTTTTAGATGGTAATATGTTATTTGTCCATTTACTTCAAAATGTGGAAAGACAACCTCTTAAGGCATCCCTACTCATTCTGTCAGGCCAGGTTCAAGACATCTACCCAAAATGCTACCTTTATTATACCATTTATAAGCATTATGTTAAGATATATGAACTGAACAGAAAAGGCCAGCTAATCTACTTTTCACATATAGTAAGGTTAGTTATTAACATCACATTCTGCCCTTCCACCAAAGAACTCAAGTTGTGGTTATCCAATTTTAACTTTACAATGGCCCTGTAAGAGATAACATGTGAGGTAGTAGTGACTGGCTTAAAAGTAGTTGCTTTAAGTTAGAGATGAACATTTTTTTTTGTTACTCCTCTCTATTTCTTATAAATAAAGCTTGGAAATATTACTTTTTGTGGCTACAGCTCAGAGTATTACCCCAGGCAATATGGCCAATGGCCATGATGACTAGAGGGCTCAGGAAGCTGTAGTCTAAAAAGGTAACTGTTCTAAGTTTCCCTTACACCACATCTATTCAATCACAACCTTACACAAGTTAGGGTAAACATCCTTAAGATTTTCTAAGGGGGGGAGGGAACTATGCTCCCAATTATTCCTTCGCTAGTACAGCCTTGCCCTCCCAACTATGGGACAAGATTAAAAGTCCTGTGCTCATAGCAGGCACACAAAATTCTGCAGAGCTGGCAAAGAATTCTAGTTGCCCAATTGCCTTCTGGGTTCCCCCCCCCCCCCAGTCTTCATTACATCATGCATCTGGCAAGATGAGCCTTTCAGTCTCTTGATTAAAAAAACAAATTATCTGGCATAATCACTGAACCTACATTATGGCTACAATTATGTGTATAATTCTTTCAAAGTAAAAACCATTCAGCACAGTTGGATTTAATACCCCAGTCAGCATGCACAGAAAGATGCAGAAGGTGGTGGTATGTGTGGATGTAGATGAGGAGCTCAAAGGACTGAACGCTCTTCCATACAAATTAACAAAAATCATGCACATACAAAACTAGATGCTATGGAGATAGAATCTCTAGACCATCCTGATTTTCTTTGTAAGATCAATTTTAATTTTAGTTTTTGATATGGTAAATCCTTCAGTCATGGAACCAGTCAAATATAGTAGAACCCAGAATACAATTTACCAGCTGAGAAAAAACTAGACCATAGCCCCTGCTTCTTAAGAACTGGAGGTTCTTGGGTCCCATCCGCATCTTAATATAGGACTTGTAATACAGTATGCAACTATAGCATCCCTGAAAAATGACCATCGAGACTTTCCTTCCTACATCCAACAAAAGAGAATTCACCTCCTCAAGACAATCTGTTCCACTGTTGAACAACTCTTGTCATTAGGATGTTTCTCCTAGGCCTAGGTACAAACCTTAGCCCCAATGAAATCAATGGAACTTACCATACATAAATGTTGAATTATGAAGTTTCCACTGATTCGGTGGATCTACTCTAACCAGTATTACAAACTGGATCTAGGCCCTAATGTTTACCTGAATTATGCTGTCTTGCTATTTCCACCCAACAAGTTCTAGCTCTGTCCTTTCAGAACATATCTGTACTTTTTTCTATAATTATTAATCTTCATCCCTCACAAATCCAAATTACCCAGACCTAGAGTAAGAAAGTGAATCCCTGAACTCTGGGAATCCTCCCCCCCATACTCAAACCACTACACTATGCTGTCTCTCCTAAAGATTTGTATCAGTATTCAATCCCCACTAGGAGACAATCAAGTTCAAATCTGCACTTAGCTATGAAGTTCATTGAGGAATCTTCAGTCTCTTCCTCTCTTTCTCTCTCAATCTATCAATGCATGAGCAAAGTGTGACCTTCTGGATGTTTTCTGACTCCCATTAACAGGCACAGCCAGCAGTGAGGGATTCTGGGATTTTCAACCCAGCAACCCAGCAACATCTGAATTTTAATTCATTGTTAAATAAACAGGGGAAGCCAATATATTGCCCTAAGCTCCCTGGAGGAATGATGGAATAAAAATGTAATAGGCAAAGCTAATAAATCTCCCTGCACTTGTCTCTTTTGCCTTTCTGGAAATGACCTTGGCCTGTGTCTCTTCATCCTATATCCTGCCTCCCACTTTGGCAAACCCAAGGAAGATCTGGATTTTTTAAACTCTCTTCCAAGACGTTCTAACCATGACACACATAGCCTGTGATTCTGTTAGTCACTCCCTACTAGAGTAGACCCAGTGAATCAACTGTTCTAAATGAGTCAATACACCTATGTAAATTCATTGGATCTATTTAAGCCAGTGTGGTGTAGTGGCTGTGGCATTGGATTACGACTCTGAAGACCAGGGCTCAAATCCCTGCTCAGCCATAAAAACCCACTAGGTGACCCTGGGCAAGTCACATTCTCTCAGCCTCAGAGGAAGGCTAAGGCAAACAACCTCTAAACAAATCTTGCCCCCAAAAAAACCACCCATAATTAAGGTCACCATAAGTCGGAAATGACTTGAAAGCACACAACAACAAACTCTAGTCAGGACCAGCAACAGGATTTAGGCAGGAGTGTATGGGCACACGGCACTCCTCTTTTCAATTAAAATTATCCCACATGGAAATAAACATCTGTTAACTGCAGCTTGTCAAAGCCAAATGTGTTCAAGCATTCTGGGCAAAGAATCAATAGCTAATAGCTCAGCCTGCAGATGACATAGGTCACAAATTCAATACTTGGGGCAGAGAGGTTTGATTTGTTTTGTCTGGGATGGGACAGCAGTATTGCTGGTTGAGTGACATGTGCTTTTCATAGAAGTACATTCCACTAAAACAGAACTTCTAGAGCAAGAAGCCAGAGATCTGTAAGATTACATATCCTTGTTTTCAACCCAAGAGAGAGAGAAACAGGATTTAAGTTGGTGTCACTCCTTTAAGTAACTATCTCCTTTTCAATCAACTGTTAATGCCATTGACTTCATGCTGCTAGACTGTGGGGAAAGGATATACAGTATGGGAGAAGGGAAGAAAATCCTACTCTGTAATTCATCTCACTCTGCATGTGCTGCTCCTTCTGTGTTGATGGACACATGTGAAAGACAGTGATGCATTTTTAAATGTGTCTGCATCCCGTCTGTAAACCAACTAAAGCCATAGGAGATGGTACTACTTTTCAATATCCCTTTGTTTTTTGTGTCGCCACTAGGCTGATGTATTTTCTTCACACACGTGTCCACACACACACACACACACACACACACACACACACACTGGTCTGTCATAAAAAATACATGATCAAGAAAAGTTCTATCAAATTCACCAACACTTTCCCTTCAAAAGAACATGAAGCCCTATGAATGAATGCATATATTGACAGTGTTTTATCAATTAAACAAACAAACAAACACGAATCACCACCCTGATGAGATATCTTTGAAAATTTATTCTCCACAATCTACTGTAGTCAGTTTATCTGGAGACTGGTGAGCCTTGCGGCAAGCAGGCATGTCTTAAATGGAGTAAGAATGACATTTTAAGGAGTATTGCAAAAAGCATCAATTTTAAACAGTGTTACTGCAAAGAGTCAAACAGTCTAACTGGCCAAGTGATTAGAATGTGATTCTTCCATACAAAAAGCAACTCAAGCTTCAGAGAAAATCAATTTTAAGTTATAAGAATGTGTTCCTTGCACTCATGATTGACTCAGCATATAAACAGCTAGAGGAAGTTCAAAACCCAAATGGAGCTGGTATCAAATTATAGATGAAGAATTGAAGCAGAGGGAAAGTGACTTGTATTCCATTGTACTGCCAATTAGAATATGCCAGCCTTAGGGAAACTTCTGAAAACAGAACATTTTAGTTATTTCTCCCTGACTTACACCAAAATATTACACAAAACAAAGCAATGGAATAACATGCAATAAAAACAGTGCAGGATTTCATGTATATAAAATCCTATGTATAGGGAATCAGGAAAAAAGTTTTAAAAACTTAGTAGAATATATATGATGCATTTAAGGCTATATGAGTTGTGACCAACTGAAATCCTTACAAGAGGAAATTTCACAAGTTTGGGGCCACCACCAAAAATGTCCTTGGTACATACCAACCTGACTGATGTCCCTGTTAAGTGAGAGAATAAAGCTTCTGAGACCAATCCTAAAGGCTGAACAGTTAATATCCATTTACATGATCTTTTGGCTAACCTGGTCCCAATGCATTCAGGGTTTCAAAGGCTAGCTGTCCTCAAGTGGTTTCCAGTTTATGGTGACTCTTGGGTTTTGGTGACAAATTTTTTTCAGAGGGGGTTTATCACTGCCTTCCTCAGAGGCTGAGAGTGTGACTTGCCCAAAGGTCAACCAATGGGTTTCCATGGCTGAGCACAGATTCGAACCCTGGACTCCTGCAGTCCCACCCACCCCCAAATATTCAAACCACTACACTATGCTGTCTCATCTTTAAAGCCCTAAATGGCTTGGGTCCAACCTATCTCCGAGACCGCCTCCTTCAATATAATCCTCCCCACACACTCCGATCCTCTGGGAGGAATCTGTTG